AAAAAAAAAAAAAATTAATATGATGATGCAAATGATTAGGTTACAATGTTTGCATTTTTTAGATAAAATCTCCTGCTGTAGTTGTGTTCTGTGCCCAGGAGATGTGCCACATACCCTTACATTGTGCCCATGAGGTGGGAGCACACCAATCTCCCAACTTATTGATTGGAATATGTGGCTAATATTTGTCTTCCCTACTCATGTGCAAGCTCCATGAAGACAGAGCCCGCTTTGTTGTAATTTGGGCTGCTATAAAAAATTACCATAGATTGCATGTCTTAAGGAACACACATTTATTTTTCACACTTTTGGAGATGGGGAAGTCCCATATTAAGGCGTTGGTATTCCTGGTGTCTGATGAGGACCATCCTTTTGGTTTGCTGACAGCTGCCTTCTGGTTGCATTCTCACATGTCTGAGAGCAGAGAGTGAGAGTAAGCTCTCATGTCTTTTCTTTTTATTTCTTTTTATTTTTTAACTTTATTCAGATTATATGAGGGCACAATATTTAGGTTACATTGTTCTCACTTCCAGGGCAAAGTTCGATTTGTAGAAGAGCTCTCCTGTCTTTTCTTATAAAGGAATTAATTCCATTCATGAGCGCTCCCCTCTCATGATCTAATTACCTCCTTAAAGCCCCACCTCCTAATACCGTCACACATTTTAACATATGAAATTTTGAGGGAACACAGACATTCAACTTGCAATAATCTCGCACTACCGGTATCTATCACTGTGTCTGACATATAATAGGCATTGAGTATTTATGTGTTGAATGATTGAATACATGTCATCAGATTCTCAGAAGAGTTTAGATTTCATAAAATCTTAAGGGTAATTTGAAGGTGATTAGTTTTTTGAAAGCTACCTATGGTATAGTGGTTGCTGAATTAATTTCTTTTTAAAAAACAATCTAGTCTAATATAATTCTTATCTTTGTAATAGAAAGACTGGGACATACCTGGTATAAGAGAGAAACTCATTCACTTGCCACCATGGAGAGACATCTGTGTCAGCCTTATGATTAAAACACTCTTCAAGATTGCTTGAACCTAGGAGTTTGAGGTTGCAGTGAGCTAGGATGATGCCACTATACTCTAACCTGGGTGACAGAGCAAGACCCTGTGTCGAAAAACAAAACAGACAAGCAAAGCAAGACCCTGTCTCTACAAATAGAAAAAGTAGCTGGGCATTGTGGCCAGAGCCTGTAGTCCTAGCTACTTCGGAGGCTGAGACAAGAGGATCTCTTAAGCTTAAGAGTTTGAGGTTGCTGTGAGCTATGATGCCACAGCATTCAACCCTGGGGCCATGGAGTGAGACTCTGTCTCAAAAACAAGCAAACAAACAATACTCCTTGAGGCGCTAGAGGAGCTTCTCTTCTAGTGGGAGGACAGACATGTACACACAGACAGTTCTCACATGGTGGGACAAGTGTCATGTGAACTGCTTGGAAAAGGAGGAACTTCTTTGGGTTGCCTGGGAAAGCTCCGGGAATGAGAAATGATCCTGCAGGGGTGTCCAACCTTCAGCCTGTGGGCAGCAGGCTTAGTTTGTGAGGACTTCTTTTGCTTGTCTGTCATGTCAGGTATCACGAAAGTCTTTACGGTCCTTTTCTTTTTGCTAACAGCTTTCATTAGTGTTCATGTATTTTGCTGTGTGGCCCAAGTCAACTCTTACTCCTTCAATGTGTGAGAGAACAGAAAAAAAGGTTGGACACCCCTGAATACACCTTGTGGGTGGGGAGATGTTTTCCAAGCTGAGAGAGAGTGAAGGATCACCACATGCCAGGATCATGGAGATGGACAAAGGGGAGGTGTGATCAGCAGAATGGCAGGATGGGCAGTGGAGTTAGAGCCCCGAGTGTGTTGGAGCAGGAGTATGTCTGGAGATGAACCTGAAATGAAAATGAGGACCAGACTATGAGGAGCCTCATATGCTATTCTTTGGAGGCTGAATTTTTACCTTTTGGCCTTTGAGGTTCATGAACTTTTTTTTGAAAGGTGGACTGTTATGATGTTTTATAAAGATGGCTCTCATGGCTCGGCATCTTAGTATAGTCATTAGGGCTAGAGCTTTGGAATCAAGAGGTAGGTGGAAACCCTGTCTCCTTCCTCTGTCTGCTATGTGATCCTGAATGTACACTTACTTTCTTTTTGCCAGGCTTCCTCATGTGTCCACTGGGGATCCTGATACCCATTTTCAGGTATGTTGTGAGATTAAATAAGACACACATTCCTTGGTGTAAAGTCATCTTGCGTTCAGTAATGATAGTATCTCTTTCCTGATTCTTGAACTTGAGATCCCTACATCCCTAAAATAGATTTTGGAACTATTTTAGTTGCCATGACTTCTGTGGAACCCTTTTGGAAACCATGAGAACTTTCCTGGGGCCAGCTTGCTTGTGTCCTCCCTAGTGGGGATTCCTATGACTAAAGATAGGGTGTAGTGTTTCATCAGGGCCCCCTGGATTTTACTCCTATTATCCTGTGATTATTTCACATTTCATTTCAATTCCTGCATTGAAAATTTTCTGTACTAACGCGAAACACTTATTTTTAGAAGTTTTTATTTGGACATTAGAAATGGAGTCGATATATCTTCAAAAGCACCTTGGGACGTGCTTAACTCAAGGTCTTGCAGAAGTGGCAAGAGTTCGCCCAGTGGATCCAATAGAATATTTAGCATTGTGGATTTACAAGTATAAGGAAAACGTGACCATGGAACAACTGGTAGGTATGAATCTCTGTTTAGGAAGCTAGATAGGTAAAATAATTGGTCCAATTTGTCTCAACTTGTCTGCTTTAAGAAAATACAATATTATTGGCTTGGCGCCAGTAGCACAGTGGTTACGACGCCAGCCACATATGCTGAAGTTGGCGGGTTTGAAACCAGCCCTGGCCAGCTAAACAACAATGACAACTGCAACAAAAAATACCCGGACTTTGTGGCAGGCGCCTGTGGTTCCAGCTACTTGGGAGGCTGAGGCAAGAGAATCACTTAAGCCCAAGAGT